TTTCGGTGACCAAGTCAGTGTCTGTGTCTTGGGTTGGAGTCTACTCCATCCTCCTGGTGGATGGTTGGGACAGTCACACTATCACTCATCAGGGGCTTCTCTGCTCTGCTCCATGGAGAAAGGCCTCAGGTTCCCGTAGAGAGAAGCCAGCAGTGTGTGTGGGGGGCGGGGGACAGGCAGTGAGCACAGAGGGGACATGAGCCAAGCATTGGCAGTGTCTCCTACCGAACTCAAGCTAGAAGAGCAGCAAGGTGGCCACTTGACCACCTCTACATGTGGACACAGGGAGGCCCAGAGAGGGCAAGAACCTGGCTCCCAGTCACCCAGAGTCATTGTCTCAACTACTGGAGCCGAACTGAGGCCTCCTTCCCCTAAGATGGGGTTCTTTCTTCAGCATTTCCTGGCCATCCCCAGATGGACCCCCTCCGTGCGGGAAGGGTACTGTCCTCTTGACCACACTCTACCACCTGTCCCTCAGCACCTGCCTATAGCTGCTTTCCACGCTCCCCAAGCTCCAGGGTATGAAACCAGCTCTTTCAGACATACATTGCCCCTCATTCCGGGAGCCGGGAGAGGCCCAAGGCTTTGAGCGGAGGCATGGAGAGGGGATGCCCTTCGAGGACCCTCCATCTGGTGGTAGCCATCCACACAGCCCCCGGTGACAGATCCAACCTGTCCACAGCCCACGTGTCCTCTCCGTCTTCTGACCTGACAAGCCAGCAGGGAGGTGGTTATATTTTTAGTCCTCACCCGAGGATATTTTTCAATTGATTTTTTTTGTGAGAGAATGGAAGAGAGAGGGGGAGAGAGAGAAACATCAATGTGAAAGTGACACATCAATTTGTTGCCTCCCACACGTGCCCTGACAAGGGCCGGAGATCAAGCCTGCAACAGAGGTACATGCTCTTGACGGGAATCAAACCCGGGACTTTTCAGTCTATGGGCCCATGCTCTATGCACTGAGCCAAACTGCCTAGGGCAGGGAGGGTGGTTATCTTCATGAGATGGGGCTCAGTGGGAGGAATGCCCTCCCCAAGGTCACACAGCTGGCACAGCCGAGTGTACCCGCAGGAACTGGAGTCTGTTTTCAGATCCTGGTGGCTGTAGCAATTCAGTCCTTGTGGCTGCCAGCTCACCTGTGCTCACCTGTACACTGGCACCAGGAATGGGAAGGAAGGTATGTTAGCCAGTGACCAGAAGCTTGGCTGTTCGACCATGGGCTTCTCAGGGTCAGGATCAAGGTCAGATTCACTTTCATGGTCCCCCGGCATGTGATTGGCAGTGGGACTAGGTGGATGGAATGATAGATGGCCGGTCGGTGGCTCATCACAAGGTGGAGGTGACGGCAGCCTTCGGTAATCTGGCGATTATACCTTTGAATGCTGTAATAATATAGTAACTGAGATTGTGTCTTCATAATAAATTTTCATATTCAAAGAATTTTCACAGCAACCCGAGGCCCAAGAATATTCAACTAGTAAGTGACAGATAAGTCCAGCTACATAATTTGTTGTGCAAAAATAAAACCACAAAAGAACACCCTTATTGTAAAAAATATTAAGATGGTGACAAGCAACGGAAGAGCCCTTCTGAGTGAGAGGGTCCCTGTGTGACTGCTGGGTGTCACACCTGTGAAGCTGGGGCCCTGGAGACAGAGCTGGGACATGAACCTGGG